GATTTGGGCTGCTCTCCTCAAGCCGCACACGACCATGTAATCAGAAAAAAAAATAAAAAAAATTTAGGCAGTCTGCCAACCGCCGACGGGTCCGCCTACAGGTCAGCCCGACTGGTAGGTGCGCCTACTGCCCACGGTAGGCGTAGGTGGTAGGCGCCAAAACAACCCTGCTCTATAGAGTTTATACTCGATATGAGCAGTGGGAGGTATACTCAGTGTACACAGGGCTGCGGGCTGAGCCAAGCTTCCGCAGGAGATGCTTGGGACTCTGGAGAGAGACGTACACAATGCACACGTTTCACGTACCGAGATATCAGTGTGTACCTAGTCGGGGCTACGGACTAGGTAGACACTGGTCGAGTGCCTTCAGAGGCAGGTGAAGGATACAAACAGTGCATGCAAAGCTTCTCCGCGGCTACTTCTGCATATATATTTTGTAAAAATTGGAATCAGTCAAAAACTGCTACCTAGCGCACTTGAGCAGTTGGAACTGTATGATGGGTACTACCTACTTCCAGGTCTTGCGTACTTGAATGTACATGTGATCACTGCATGACATACTCTGTGTGCTTCATGAGCTTGCCACAGTCAATGCTTTGGGCTTGACACGCGATGGGAGATGAACTCGGCAAAGCGACTGAACCAAGCCTCGTCAGCAGATGAGGATCAGTCAGTGTGTCAGTGTAGTACGGTGACTCGGTGAGCACTGAGAAGCGTTCCCCGGGACTCTATGTCACAGGTACTTCTCCGTACTGTACACTCAGCGGTGTACACGTGTGCAGCGTACTCGATGTACACAGCATACCGAGTGCATTCCGCGTACTCGGTAGGGTCAGCGTACACATGGGTACTTCTCCGTACTGTACACTCCGCAGTGTACATGTGTGCAGTGTACTCAACGTACACAGCGTGCCGAGTGCATTCCACGTACTCAGTAGGGTCAGCGTACTCAAATGTACTCAGCATACATGGTGTGAACCGAGTACTCAGCATGCACAGCATAGTACTCAGCGTGCTCAGTGTGCACTTACCATACTAAAGTACTCAGGTCATGCCGTGTGCTCAGCGTCTACTTAGCATACTAAGTACTTAGCTCAATGCACTTTTAAGCATACTCAGTACTAAGCATCCTGAGTGCTGTGGTACTCACAGCACACTGCACCCAGCATAAGCAGCGTACTCCGTGCACTCAGGTTACTCAAAGTACCTGGCATACTCAGGAGGATCTGCAGCATACTCAGAGCGCACGACACGTTCATGGTACTGTGTGCTCAGCGTACTATTTGGACAGCTCAGCGTGCACAAGGCTGTGCCATGCATACTTCATGGAATGGTGGTCAGGTGCATTCCACATACTCACAGTTACGACACGCCTGCTCGGCTCAGCTGTCTGCCTGCAGCAAGCACCGTTGCCATTTCCTTTCTGTGCGCTCAGCGTACTCAGCGTATTCGGACTGCTCAGCTTGCACAAGGCTGTGCCATGCATACTTCATGTAATGGTGGTCAGGTGCGTTCCACATACTCACAGTTAAGAATTGCCTGCTCGGCTCAGCTGTCTGCCTGCAGCAAGCACCGTTGCCATTTCCTTTTGAGTGCAAGTCGAAAACTCCAGCACATCTAGGCCAACCGAAGCTGCCACGGCTATGGAGGTTCTTCTTCCGTCGGGCATTCCTGCCGTCTCCTCCTCCTCCCTAGCGTGCCCTCCTGCAAGATCCACATCCGCTGAAACTGGATGGGCTGTCGTTGCCACACCGTGCACATCCTCTTCACCCCGTTGCGCTTCAGATGCGACGGGTGATGCAATGCCCTCACCTGTCTCTCTTTTTCTGCTTCTTCCTCTGCTCATTTGCCTCCCTCCCGTTTCCCGTTGTTGCCTTGCTGCCGTGTTATCCTCGCCTTCGTTGCCGATGTGCCGGTACAGATGCCTCACAATGAACAATGCTGTGTCCTGATCTCCCCAATAGGACCTGTACGCCCATTGCACATACGCACATAAACACCAAGCAGAAGGTCATTACAATTACATGCTAACTTCAGTCGTCATCATGACTCATCGGTAGTTAGCTCCTGAGGAGTTCCGCTTCACTCGCAAACCGGACGAAACAGCTGGCTGTCTGGAATATCGCCAGTTGCTCTTCATGCTACGGCATTTTTCTGCCAGCTTCCACTGGGCTTCACGATATAATTTACGAGCTGATGCGCTCGGGGTACTTTCGACTTTCTTCCTCGTCTTCTTCCATCTTCCTACTGTCGTCATTTTCGTCATTTTCTGAGGCTATATATAGCTTTTACACTTGGCTATATATAGCTTTCGTCATTTTCTGAGGCTGTAAAAGTCGTGTTTTTAACTTTTTAGTAACTTTTTACACTTGGTTGTGTCAATCAATGCATGGAGTTAAAAAGAAAAAGAAAAGAAAAAAAACAATGCGTGGAGTTTAGTACTGTTTACTCTACTGCCGCATAAGATGAGCAATTTCACAACTTTTAAATTTTAATTCTAATTTCCTCATCTCCCCCCAATAGGACAGGAAAACCCATTTGATACACACCATACTTGCGGCGCATCAAGGTGCGCTGCACCCCGCACGTGTGCCGCACCGTGCACCGCGCACAACGCGCGCACACGGGGTGCGGCGCACCCCGAAAATAAGGGGTCGACCAAAAAAAAAAAAAGTTGCAGAGGGGTGTTCTGGGCCTGGGTGGGATGTCGCGTGACGAACCAAAAAACAACAACAACAACAATTCGAGGCCGCGCGGGGCCTCGGAAAAAAAAGGGGGGGAGCTGAAGTTGGTTTGTTTTTTGAAGTTTCGAATCCGGTGTGCTGCCCCTTGCTGCGTAGATGAACCCCGGTAGTCCAGCTTTGTGCCCTTCACGACCGCCGTGCATTGCCCGTTGCCTCCACGTCTCCTGTGCAGCAGCAGCAGTCGAAGGCGTCGTCGTCCAGCCATAGCCAGGGCACTACAGTCTTCGTGAAGGAGCCGAAGACGCAGCGGGAGGAGCGCGGGTTCAGCTAACCACTAGCCCCTCTCTCTCTCCCCTCCTTCCTCTCTCCCTCTCTC